TCCCGTGCTCGATCACATGGGGGCACAACAAGCTAACGTTCAGCTTCTCTGTTTCAGCATCCTTCAGCGTGACACTGAAAAAAGAAGGGAAAAAATGCACATTTTTACAGTTTAGCGTCGAATTTTCAGCGGACTTCATGTTGCAGTCGACGCCGTGGACGGTCCCAGTGACGAAAAGCTCGTTCCTGAGCTCCAGCCTCGTACGCCGGCCGGTTAGCGCCTGCAAAAGGCACACTAAACTCCTCGCACTCTTGTGTCTTTCTCGCCGAGTGAACATTTTAAGCTGCGCATGCGCACATCGGAACGCCTGTCGACCTTTGACCCTTGCCACGCAACAACTCAAGGCTGTGTGTGTGTGCGTGCAGTGCAAGGGTAAAGAAGAGATGTCAGGGTAGTGTTGATGGCGACGGTTGCAAACGAGGAGGGGAGGCGGTTTCTCTTGCTCTACGGCTCGCAGACGGGACAAGCCAAAGCCATATCCGAGAAAATACACGAGATGGCCGTGGAGCGTGGACTAGAACCTGACATGCATTGCTTCAGCAAGAGCGAAAAGGAGGTCAGTGACCATAGATACGTAGGCATAGCGACCATACGTTACATTGCTCGTTCTCACGTAGTTCGACGTGACGGAGGAGCCGGTCGTAGTGATCGTTGTCAGTACTACAGGAGACGGTGAGGCTCCGGACACGGTCTCCAAGTACGTCCGGAATCTTCTAGAATATTCTAGAGTAATTGTCGTATGTGTGTGTGTGTGTCCAGGTTCTGGCGAAAGTTGAAGAGAAAGACTGTACCCGAGACTCACTTGGCGAAAGTCCAATATGGCCTTCTTGGTGAGCTCACGCACACACACACACACACACACCACACACTGATGGCTCCCTCCCATCTCCTCCACGTGGCCAGGTCTAGGTGACACTAACTACACCAACTTCTGCAACATGGGGAAGCGGCTTCACAAGAGAATGGTGGAGTTGGGGGCGACTCCCTTCGTTGAGCCGGGATGGGCAGACGATGGAGTAGGGTAAGAACAGTCCAAGAACAGTCGGGGAGATTGCCTCAACTCTTTCTTCCTTTCTCTGTTCCTGGAACTGCTAAGTTATGTACCGACAGGAAGACTGAGTTTCCTAATCTTCCTCTAATTGACTGACAGTAATGACCGTAGGAAGTACAAACACATGATGCAAGATTCGTGCCAAATTTTGCAATCACCCCTAAAACTGTGGCTACTGGGTACATTCATACATATCCTTGTGTGAGAATGCACACTTGTAATTAAAGTTCTTTCTTCTCTCTCTCTCTCTCTCTCTCTCTCTTTCTCTTTCTCGTTTCCACCCCACAGCCTCGAGTTGGTGGTTGAGCCATGGATTGAAGATCTATGGGAGCCACTGGAAGCAGCACTAGAACAAGTCCATTCTCCGTCAAACACACAGAAAGATCAACTCCCTAGTCAGAATGAGGGCTCAGAATCTTCTGCTAACACAACTTCTACCAGTGCAATACACGGTGATGCTGTGAATGGAGAAGTAAAGTGTTCCACCGTGGACCAGATTACTGAGTCAGTAAACTCGGAATTTACCGTCTCCAAATCAATTACTGTTGACAAGTCAGTAAACCCGGAATTTACTGACCCTGTCCTCAAACCGTCTACTGCTGACAAGATTACTGAGACAGCCGTGTCAGTAAACTCGGAATTTACTGACTCCATCACCCAAGCTCCAAAAACCACGCAACCTTCTGAAAGTAGCAGTGATTCTACGGTCTCAATAGTTCCTGAAGCTGCAGTGGGTCATGTGATCGACAATGGGGCTCTCTGCGAGGTCGAGAAGGAGCTGAAAAGGGTTAAATTAGGCAGCGAGCCCCTCTCCCTCCCCTCCATCCCTCCACCCTCCCTCTCTGTCAAGATTGAAGAGGTATCAGCGAGAATTCTTCATTGCCTCTCGAAATGCTCGTGTTGCTTTTTCTCTCTCAGGCATCGACAAAATGGGTGGAGTTTCGTTACCATGACGTCGAATACGTGTACGGTCAGACGGGTGGTGTTACCATGGCGACGGTGGTGGGGTGTCGTCAGCTGACGAGGGAGGGGGCGCTGCGAGCGACGATCGAAGTGGAGTTACGTGTCCAGGTAAGCTCCCTACTTATTAGGTCAAATATGTACTGCCATTGTTGGTTGGGAGTTGTCTTCTATTCTGTGGGAACGTCAATAAGACAGGCAATCTACAAATCCACTAAAATCTCTGCGAAACAGATTTCTCCAAGTCTCTTTCGCTAGCGTTCTTCCCAAAATCTCTGCAAAGTGCGTAGTTTCTCTAAATTGTTTCTGTACCTTTTTCCAACGTACTAAGAGTGGTGGTTTCAGCTATGCACCAGGAGATGCTGTGAGCTTCATGTGTCCCAACCCAGCATGGGAGGTGGAGCTCCTCGTGGATAGGTGAGACTCGGGGAACAACTGCACGACTGTATTTTGCTGTGCATGTTGGTGTTCCATGATCGGTGTTGTGTAGATTGGGTCTGATGTCATGTGCCGATCACATGATCCAGTTGCAGCTCGCCAATGCCCAGAGTTCAACTGGAAAGAGTAAGAAACTCCTCCTCCTCCCCTCACCCTCCTCTAATCTCTCTCACATGGTCTCTATATTCAGTTCTTCCAAGACACGTTCCACCATCGTGTTCAGTCCGTCAGTATTTCACCCACTGTGGTGACTTCAGAGCCATTCCCAAGAAGGTTCTTGTTACTAATGTCACGTGACTTTACCTCTGATGTAATGTGACCTTCCCTTTGATGTCATGTGATCTAATTTATATTGTCACATGACTTTACCTCTGATGTCATGTGACCTTCCCTTTGATGTCATGTGATCTAATTTCTAATGTCACATGACCTGCAGGTGATGCTGGGATATCTCTCCAGTTGCTGTGGGAACGAAGACGACAAGAGAAGGCTTGCCGAACTTAGCAGCAGAGAAAATGGTAAGTCCTTCCTCTCCTCCTTTCATAAGTGAACTGAAATATAATATTTAAGGCTTAACAATTATACGATTTTCTGATAGCTATGTGCACTTCCATACAAGGAAACTACAAATGCCCTAAGATTTTGATACAATTTTGTGTATCGCAGCGTCTGACTACAGGGAGCTGGTGTTAGGAAGACACGTCGATCTACTCGACATTCTCTTCGCGTTCCCCTCCTGCCAGCCATCACTGGGTAGACTCATACGTGAGTTGTGGCGATTACATTTTCTGGGTTTATATTATATTATAGTATAATATGGTTTTGTTCTGATCACTCAGAGTTTCTACCACGTCTAAAGCCCAGGCTCTATTCAATTGCAAGGTATATACAAGCACGTGTGTATAAATGCCATATTGCCCAGGCTCTATTCAATTGCAAGGTATATACAAGCACGTGTGTATAAATGCCATATTGCCCAGGCTCTATTCAATTGCAAGGTATATACAAGCACGTGTGTATAAATGCCATATTGCCCAGGCTCTATTCAATTGCAAGGTATATACAAGCACGTGTGTATAAATGCCATATTGCCCAGGCTCTATTCAATTGCAAGGTATATACAAGCACGTGTGTATAAATGCCATATTGCCCAGGCTCTATTCAATTGCAAGGTATATACAAGCACGTGTGTATAAATGCCATATTGTACAGTGGGTGTCAGTATAATTATATTGCTTTGAACTGTTAAGAGTCTTAGTCATGTGGTGTTCTACTCAAGTTTGCTACAGAGTCCAATTTTTAATAAAATTGCCGTACGGTGGTGTAGAAGCAAATTTATTTTGAGGGTCTGTTAGTTAAATTAGCATCTCTATCTGTGAACGCCAAAGTATTGCTGATCGTTCCCCTATGCATCTCTCTCTCCCGGATGTCTTAACACAGCTCTCCACTTACTTCTCCCGATCGTCTCCGTATCGCCCTCTCCATCTTCTCCCTCCCTCACCGCTCATGGTGGACGAAGAAAACCAACACATCCACCGGGGAAGAAAGAAAGGGCCTTGCATCCGGATATTTTTACTCACTCGCGAAAAATTTTTCTTCGGAGGCTGGGAAATTTTCCCAGGTTCCCCTTGCCCCCCGGGGGGTGAATTCGTTTCATCTCCCCAAAGACCCCTCCATTCCCCTCGTTATGATTGGCCCCGGGACGGGCGTCGCTCCGTTCCTGGGGTTCCTGGAACACAGACGGCACCAGAATCGGAATGGGACCACTACAGGGAGGGTGTGGCTGTTTTTCGGGTGTCGGCACCCCGACCGAGATTACATTTATAGGGAGGAGCTTCGGGAATTCACGAGGGATGGCACACTGACGAAACTTACTGTCTGCTTCAGTAGATTGGAGGAGACAAGGTTAGTCATGTGACATCATGTGAGCTAAACAAATTGTCATGTGACTATCATGTGAACCAAGCCTAATTGTACTTTTGACCATCATGCAAGCAACAAAACTGTCATGTGACTATCGTAAGCTAGACTCAAGTCATTTTCTGAGTGTCATGTGACTATCATGTGAGCAAGTACTGTTTCTCTGTAGGAGCGGTGAAGGTGAGGGGAGGTATGTACAGGACGGCATGAGAAGACGTGCAGCTGAACTAGCTCAGTGGGTGTTGGAAGACGGAGCATGCGTCTATGTCTGCGGGTAAGTTAGTTTGCGGGAGCTTGCAACTGCTAATGGCTGGTTCGTGCAATAAGTCCTTGTGTGCTTGCGTTACGACTGACAAGCCACAGCTTGACACGGCGTCCGTCACGTATCAAACTGCAAGACACAGAGAAATTTCGAACCTGATTTTTAGTGAAAAGCACAAAATTTCGCAGTGCATGCGCAATAGTGCGAGCGAAGTTGGGAGTTTTTTGATCTGTCGTGCAGAGAAGCGAGGGGAATGGCTCGCGATGTTGAAGCCACGTGGTCTGCCATCTTGTCTGACCGTGTGATGCAGAAGAGAGGTGGGAAGAAGAGGGGGGGACTGGGTGAGGGAGGAGACAAGGAGGTGGAGGTGGAAGAGGGTGAGGGAGAGAAGATTGTCAGAGAATTGAAGGACAATTCTCGCTATCTTGTTGACGCCTGGACTTCTTAACATGTACATACATGATCGTCATATGCAATCATAATTTTTGAACCTCTTATTTATTTGATATGTACACAATCTGTTTTATTCAATATTTATTGTATATACAACAATGAAATGTCTTTTATTCAATGTGTATTGATAATTATATATACGTACATGTAGCAAACACAAAAACGAGACAGACTGTGTTTTAAAACTTCTTTCCAGTGGAGGAGTCTTTCTTTATGATTCCTTTTGACGATTTGGTAACCGTGCCGACGCTCATGGAGGCGTGGCCGGTAAAGGACTCGCCCTCGATCGGCATGACACTGTCGACGACGGGTGCCTTTGTCTTCTTCACTCGGAGACTGGAGAACATGAGCATGTTGCCGGAATGGGGATGGAGGCTTTGTGGCACTCGGTTCCGGGCTGAGACTGACTTCAGAGTTGAAACTGACAGTGTGACCTTTAGAGTTGTTCTTCACTTTCCTCCTCTTGGTTTGCTTTGCGACGCGTGCCGGCGGTGGGGGCTGCATGAACGCAACCTGGTACGGAACCTGGCCGCTCTTTCCCGGCCGAAACGTCGGCATCTGTCCCGGTTCCATGTTGACATACGGATTCATGACCAGAACGGGAATCATCGGCATCATCCCTGGAACGGACTTCTTCTTTCTCCCTCTTCTCTTCTTCTTCGACTTTAAGTTCGGTTCAGACGATGTCATCATTTCCTCGTCACTCTCCTCCAAGATGGGGGCGAGACCGGGAGAAATGGGCGTGGCTTTCGGGGCATCATCTTCAGAGTCTTCACGGTAATCACCCTCGATCTTCACTCTGAATGGACTACCTGTGGAATAATTATTAGTAGGTCCATTCAAGTGTGTCCTCAAAAATAACCATGCAGATAGTGGAGTTCTGGTCTTTTTGTGTGTAAAAGAGAGAGATGTCTGCCCGTTGAAAATGTGATATTTATTATTAGCTAAATTCCCTCAATTACCTGGAATGTTCTTCTCGTCCCACTTGATGGTAATGAGGTAGTCCCCTGGTTTACGAGGGTTGTAGCGAGCCTGCAGCGTTCGCTGGTCCATCTGGTCCTTGGGCTTCAGCTCGATCTTGAACGCGTTTTTAACCCCGTGCAGCCTGACTTTCAGCGTCCCCGCACCAGCGTCCCTCGTCTCGATCACAAACGTGCTCGGCCGCTCGACCACTCCGTCTTCGAGACCCGGTCCGTGTGCCCGACATTTGCTGGGGTCGGCTCCCGCGTAAACCTTCAGGATGTGTGGACTTCCCGGAATGTGCCGGCCTGACCACTTCACGCTGAGTCGGTACTTGCCGTGCCGGACCGGGTCAAGTTTCACGTCGTAGATACCGGTTCGGTCTTCCGGTTTGGCGAGGTAGACTCTCGCTTGTGTGCCACCTGGTCCGACGGCTTTGACTACCAGTGCACCGGTTCCAGCTCCGTGCGCGCTCACTTTGAAATCTATGGGTTTCCCGATTTTGAGGAGGGCGTTTGGTTGGAGGGCGGGGCCCCACATTGAGCACTTGTCTGGTTCCGGACCCGGTCTTGCAGTCAGTCGGAACGGACTCCCGGGAATGTGGGCACCGGCCGCGAGAACACTAATGAGGTAGGCCCCGGGGAGATGGACGAGATAGGCCACCTGGTAGGTTCCGTTCTTGTTGTCGCGGATACGCACCCTGCAGTCGACGGGCTGCGTCACGTTGCGGATGTTCACGACGAGAATTCCATCGTCGATCAAACCGGTCTGTTTTGCGAGGATCACGAACTGGGCGGGGATTCCGGACAACGCCTCTTGAAGACCTGAGCCCGTGGCACTGCAGATGTCCGAGTCAAAACCCTGTACCCCCATACGGAACGGACTGCGAGAAACATCGAATCCTCCGTAGGTGATGGAAATTTCGTGCGTCCCAATCTCCCACGGTGTGAATCGGACGAAGTAGACTTTATCATCGCCGGTGCTCACTTCGGCCACGTACTTTGCACTCGGACCGCTTGCCTTCACCTGGGGTTTCAGCTCCCTCTCCGGGCCCATTCTGGTGATTTGGAACTGAACCGGTTTCCCCACGACGGCCTTCCCCCTATTGAAGACCTCTCCACTCACGCAGCACTGGGACGGATCCACGACCGTCACCTGGAATGGACTGCTGGGAATGTGACCGCCAAAGAACGTGATTCCGAGGACGTAATTACCCATTTGCCGCGGCGTTACCACGACGCCCTGGGAATCGCCGCTTGCCAGCTTGTGAACGGCAGTATCGAAGAGACGTGAAATGGCGCGATCCGGACATGTCACCTCCAACATTCCTTGCCCAGCGTCCCCAGTATGAACTCTGAACTCGTACGGCGAATTGAGTTTCAGGTACTTTGGTAGCGTTCCCACCAGTTTGCATCTGGAGGGGTCCGCCACCTCGATTGTAAACGGTGCACCCTCAATCAGTTTCTCCACGCAGGCCACCTCGATTCTGTAGCAACCGGGGAATGTTGGGACAAAGGAGGCGTGGCCAATGTTGCCCTGAATCGACGAGAAGGCAATTGGAAACTGCATGTCTTCGTAGTTGGCTGTCATGGTGAGTGCGTTGAGTTGCCCATTGTCGGATCTGACCTGGAAATTGGCGTGTTGGAAAGTGTGGTAGACTTTCTCTTCCGGCTTTGCGATGATCCTGTACTGCATGTTGTCGATGACGACGTACGAAACAGCGAGGTGAGGGAGCTCCTCGTCGTTCCAGAAGATTCTGAGGACTGCCTTTCCGGGGATGGTTGGTTTGTACGAAAGTTTCACTGTGCCGTCTGGGAAACTCATTTGCTGCGCCTCGGTTGACTCCACCCCTTTTTGTTTGTATTCCAATTTGGCAAACAATCGTCCGTTGGTACCAGCAGGTCGCGTGTCGAGGAAAAGTTCGAGGCTCTGGTTCACTTGAACGGCGCGCGGATGATGCTCAAAGTCCACGATCCGGATCATCTGTGAGTCGGAGACCGGTACCGAGAACGGGCTTCTGGGAATCGGCGTGTCGGACCAGAGGATGTCGAAATTCATCACTCCGCACATCTCGGGAGTATAGGTGAGGGTTATGACTCCGGTCACCCTCTCTCGAATGGTGAAAGTCACCTTCAGACCGTTTTCATAGTACGCGTCGATGAAGAGCTTTCCCGGGCCGGCCTGCGTGGTGTCGATCTCAAAATGCGTCTCTTTTCCAATGACAGCTTTCTGTAGTCCGGGCCCCGACACTGCCACCTCGTTGGGAAGGGAGAGAAGGATGCCGTGTCTCACGTAATTTATGAAGGTCATCACTTTCAGCTCCTCCACTTGTCCGCGTGCGAGCTCAACGGCGGTGAAATCAGCGTCGATTCCGAGGGATCGTTTCACGAGAGGGAGAATCTGGGCCATGTTTTCCTTCGTGTTCCCCGGCTCCATCTGGTGCCAGCCAGGGACTAACCCTGGGAAACAGGCGTCGATTAGTGCCCCGAATGCTCGCCCGTCGACCCAATCCGCGCCGAAGCTGGTGACCCTCATTTGGGGGATCATCCGTTTAACCCACTTCAGAAGTCGCTGTTTGGCCGGTTCGCAATAGTAGGAGAGGTAAGTCATGACACTAAGATCGTCGATGTGTGGATTCGATAGATCTTCGGGAGCAATGAGCTGAGGGATTTTGAGGTGGTTGGCTGCGATTGCAAGCGCTCGGGCGCAGTTCTTTCGTCGTTTTGTCGGATCCAGAGCCCTTACGTCGTGTCCGACCCCCGGTTTGACCTCGCCGATGAGCGCCATGAGGCACCGTCCGTCGTTCCAGTCCGTGTTGAGATTGGAGATTTTCCATTCCGGCAGAATGGACTGGAGCCAGTGAATCATCACTGCCTTGGTGGACACCCGCGTGCCTGCGAGGTCAGAGAATATGACAATCGGTATTCATAGAAATCTGAAACATCTGTCACCCCAAGTGCCACACCCAGATTCTGCTAGCAAGCCCGAAAAACATGTTATCAGCTACAGTGGTATTCACCAGTTGTACACGTATCAACATGAATATTGATAAACTGGGGACCAACGGCCATATTTTTCAGGAAGTGTTGTCAAGACAACAGCTCATGTTTTCCGTTTTTCACAAACAATTGCCTATCTCAGCGCAAATGAACTCAATTAAGTTTCCTACTTACTTGTCATTCGTATTTGGTACTTTTGAATGAGTGTCCACACCAGCCCCATTATAAGGCCCAGATTCCCTTCAAAAATATTGTGGCTCCCTGCAAAAATTGAGAACATTTTACATATAATACTCTTTCTGTTTTTTCTTTCTTTTTTTTTAATACCTATTCCGATGAGTTTTATGCCTTCGTCTGCGATAAACCTGAGAGCCAGGTCCAAATTGACCATCTTGTGTACAGTAATCCGGGGCTGCTTCACGTAGCCAGTGATCTTCTTCTTCGTGAGGACCTCCATGAGTCGTATGAGAACCAGACCGTCACAGAGATCATTCCTGCAGAGATATTATAAATACAAACACACAACTCCCAAGCTTTTCGTTTGAGCTCAAGCAAGTGTACTTTGATTTTCAGGAGAAAATTCTCACTTACTGTATATACTCATTTTGAAAATGAAAGCCCAGTGTGTTTGAACACAGAATTTGCGGCCTAGCACGCTAGCAGCATTTGCAAGCAAACTTTCTACAATTTTTCAGAGCAATCTGCAGTAACACGGAGTCTCTAGGGACTAACCGTAGGTCCTGGATGCGTGGTCCAGTGTAGCTGGACTGCTTTCCCTTCAATCTCTCGTTTACCCAGTTCGTGAACGTCGCCTCCTGCGTGCAAAACACCAACGGTTACAGTGTGTGCTGTGTGGTGGTGCAGTGAAAAGATGGGAGGGGCTCAAATACGTACCTGCATCTGCTTCCAGTTTTTCCCCATGACCGGGCTGCTTGGGATCTCGTCTCCGAGGTTCTCTACGAACGCGCCGTGCAGCAGGTCGCTCGTCGACGCAGACGACGGAGGCTCGAACGCGGTTGACGGAGGAACGAGAGAAGTCTGCGAGTTTTGAGCCCGTGTGCTCTTTTTGCGGGACTCGGCGGTCGTCTCCGTGCTGAATACGAAGTGAGGTGTGCTGCGACTCGCTCTGAGGCCGCAGTTTCTATCGTCATCTTCCTCATCGTCTGGAGTGACGAGGATCAGCGGAGAGCGCAGCGCAGGTGCGTGCAGGTTTGCGGCGGGCTTTTGTGGCCGCTCGTAGACGGCGCGGTTGGCCTTCCTCGGCCTACCGACGTTACTCACTTTCCACACAGCAGACGCCATCCCTTGATTCTGTCTGCTCTGACGATAACACGCATGCGCGGTCTGAAAACCCTTGATTCGTCAAAATTTTACAGACAGGCAGTAAAAATACTATGACACAGTTATCGTTTTCCGGAGAATTTTTTCTTGAGCTCGGTGGCGGTTTCCTCGTCTATTTTAGCGAACAGCGGTCGCGGCTGCGGAAAATTAAAATGGTAAAAGGGATAATTCGAGAGAAAATTGTACTCACCTCTCCTATTTGATGCCCACTCTTTAGAAATACCGTAAAACTATCTTCCAACACATCACAACCCTCGGAGACCTGGTGAAAAATTTGTTAGAAACACACCAGCAGCTGCGTTACTATATTATATCCTCCCTACATTCAGTTGTCTTTGGATTTCGGCGCTGGTCTCGGGCATGTAGGGATGGAGTAGCACCGACAACAGACACACAATGTTGGCGCAGAAACTCAGCAGAGAACCTGCACGGGCACTGGGAAAAAAACAGAGAAAATGGAGAAAAAACAAAGTATCAACAACACCTACGTAGGGGGGTATTATACAGTATAACGGGAAAATAAGGGAGAAACATCTTGTGTACATTTCCTCGGGGGAGCCTTTGACGAGTTTCCACGGTTTCTCGGACTGTATGTGTCCATTCCCGAGGCGAGAGATGGCGAGAATGTGCTTGAGAGCATCTCGCAGCTTCAGCGTCTCCAGACACACGTTGTAGCCCCGTAGCTCCCTCGTCACCATGGCAACCACATTGTAGTCTTCGTCCGTCAGCTGCATCTCCATAATCTTCCTGCAAGTGAAAAAGGAATCCCCCATTTCATCGCTCCTGACATCAGTGGTGTCCTGAATACGTCCCATTAATAAATGGGGCAAAATTGGGACGTCCCAGAAACAGTCTTTGAGATGACGCAAGCTCACCGATCGAAGCTGTTTCTGATGAAGACAAGGCAGCGGTTGATGAAATTCCCGAGGTTATTGAGCAGCTCAGAGTTGTTCTTTGCCACGAAATCACTCCAGTTGAACGTGCTATCCTGCACCGAAAATGAAAAATGGAACTGAAAAAAGAAAGATGCTGTGTGCTACCCAAAGAACTAAGGACACATTAAAAATCCAACATTTTATGCTAAAGATTAGCTTGTATAAGAGCAAAATTATAATGCTCTATTGTCTATCCTTTAAAAAAAACATGGAAAAGCATCATTTGTAAACAAAAAACCAAAAAAAATCCCTCGTGACCTGCGTCTCTGGTCTAACGTAGAGGAGATAGAAGCGATACACGTCTGAGGGTATTCCCGTGTTCTTGGCGTCAATCCCAAACACTCCCACACCTCTACTCTTGGAGAACTTGCCGTCTTCATACTTGAGGTACTCTGGAGAAGAGAGATACGGACGGATTCTCAAAGAGCTTGTCCACGTACACCCACTACTTAGGGGAAGCCACGCCCACTACCAGGGAAAGCCACACCCACCAGTTGACGAGAGGTGATTGACGATGGTGTATCCGTCATTGGCCCCCAGGAGAGAGCATGGGAACACGACCGAGTGGAACGGAACGTTGTCCTTCGCCATGAACTGGTACAGCTGCACGTCGTCCGGGTTCTTCCACCATTGTCGCCATTCCGGAGTGTAACACGCGGTGATGGAGATGTACCTGGGAGGAAGGAAGACAGATACAGAGATGGGGTAAAGATAAATGCCAACGAAAATGCCCGTGACTATCTACGGAATTTTTCCACATACAGTGGAACCTCCGATAAAGGGACACTTGGCATATTATACTACCTCCGAATAAGGGACAATTCTGAATAAACTACACTTTCACTATTCCCAAGGTGTCCCTTATTCAGAGGGTTTAACTGCAGAATGCACTGACAATGCCATATACTATGGTACTGGCTACTGTGTAGATCACATGATTGTCATGTGACCAAACACATGAGGTCATGTGACTACTCACCCTATGGTTGCATCGAACCAGACGTAGAAGACTTTCTCGGTGAATCCCTCCAACGGCACGGGGGTGCCCCAGCGGAGGTCGCGACTGATGCAGCGAGGTTTGAGCGTGTCTCGGACCCATGCCGACGTAATGTTGAGAGCGTTCTGCGACCATACGCCTGGGCAGAGAGAGAGAGAGAGAGAGAAAGAAAGATAAAACAAGGGAGATGGTTAATGTGTGAGGCTCCTGGATTCTTTTTCTGCATTTACACTTTGTGTAGCTTGTAAAGTTTTGTGAATAATCTTGCCATTTGTACACACCTTTTTTGGATGCTTCCTTAAACCACTCTACAACGGTTGGCTGAAGCTGCGAGAAAAAGAGAGAGGGAGAGCGATTTGACCTTGGTTTATTGGCCAGTCCTTGTAATGTAAGATGAGACGGAGTCACCGCGACAAGCTAGCTCACTAACCTTGTCCAAGTCGAGGAAGATGTGATCAGAAGTCTTGATGACAGGAGAAGACCCACATACCTTACAACGTGGAGACTGCGAAAGGAATCAAAAAATTGTAAAGGGTAACATTGGTTTAAAAATCAATGTGCTGTGGGATCTAATACATTAATTTTATCAGTTACGATATAGCAATTCATTTGGAGACAACAACCTTCAGTTCCGTGGCATTGATGAGACGACCACACTTGTCGCATTGGTCACCTCTGGCATCCTGAAAGTGAAACTAATTACAGGGATTAACCCCATTAGAACTACTCACCCACCTCGTATGCACATAGTGGACAAGTACCCTCGACAAATCGATCGGCCAAAAACCTGCAAGAGACCCCGAAAAGTGGAGATTTTTAGATTTGAGTTCTCTCTAACCTGTCGCAATTCTGACACAGTAGCTGGTCCACTTTTTCCGTGCTGATGAAACCCTTTCGGTGCAGCTGCCAGAATATCTCCTGGGTTATTCTGAGGGGAGGGGATCATGTGATGTCGGGTGACTGTCACGTGACTCTCACTCGGTCTGTTGCGGAGTCGAAGTTCTTCCGAATACGTCAAACTCAATGTTAAACCATTTGTACACCTCGTCATGGATAGCAAAGTACTTTGAGCATATCTGTAGGACAAACCATACATTATGGTGGTTCAATAGTTTCTTTTTCGTAAATTTAATTAACCTCCTGAGGGGTAAGCCCCTCCTCGAGTGCCTTCGTTTCAGTCGCCGTTCCGTACTCGTCGGTACCGCAGATGTACAGGGTGTTGTAACCACGGAGACGGCAGTACCTGGAAACAGCAACGACCCAACCATCCTACTCCTGGACACCCGTCATCTTAAACCAGGCACGCATACTCATGCTTTTCTTCTGCGGCGAATGCTTTCATTTTGGTTCTCTTTATCTTTTCCTGATTCATGAATTCTTTCTCCAACAATCAACAATTATTTTTACTGGTTCCTAAAATTTTGGGCCTCAACCGTAAAATTGTACTACGAAGCGCACAGATTTTTTGAGGACTCACCGAGCAAAGACATCGGCACTAAGAACGCAGCCAATGATGTTTCCAAGATGAGGAACGTTGTTCACGTATGGCAGGGCACTCGTTATGAGGATGTTCTTCTCCCCCGGCACAGGAAGACTGCAGTGAGAGAAGAGTTAAATCGAGGGTTAATAACGACGACGGAGCGTACATTGGTTCCAGTGGATCTCGGGGTTCCCTGGCCACACCCCTCACATGCTCCGCCCACATTTTTCTAGCCTCGGCCAATTCTTCTGCTGGTACCTTTTCCTGGGCCATCACTACCTCCGCGGGCTATAATTGGAAGAATATCAGTGATGATGTAATCCTTTGTATTGATGACATCATAGAAATTAAGAAATCATGATCATGAACAGTGACAGATAAATGGAGTCTCAAAGCTAAAAATAGTCTGATTTTCTAACAATAGTTCTTTTGTGCTTCAGAAGCCACTCACAGGTTGCTGAGACTGCTTCGGTTCGGCTTTATTCTGTTGACCTTTTCCACCTTGACCTTTGCCCTTTTGGGGACCACCTCTCTTATGAGCCGATGACTTTGACTCTGCCTTGACCACGCCCGCTTTCTGAACCGGCGTGGAACCCGTTTGACAGGGTTGTTGGGTGGATTTCTCGGTCGGAGTGTGTGAGGAGGATTTTGCGAGGATGAATTTGAGGTGTGCGGCTGAGCCGGCATCTTTCCACTGAGCGGAGGAGAAGCCGGGGAGGCGGGCCAGGGAGATGAACCACTGGCACACCAACAGATGGTCTTTGTGGAACACTGCAGAGATGGGGAGAGAGAGAGAGAGGGGGGCAGAGAAGGAAGAAAAAGGAGTGGAAGGAGGAACGGTAAAGAACTAAGAAGGGACACAATGCACCAAAAAGCGGGGGTAATAATAAACAGCTTCTACAGTTGCAGAGAAGTTAATATAGACCAACTATAATGACAAATGACTACCATGTTGTACATATACTGCACATATAGTACGTACCTTGTGATACAGGATTGTCAGGTGACATTAGCGCATATAGTCGACACCACACCAATATGTCCGCCAGGGAAAGCCCCTCCGGGACGAGGTAATGATGACCTAATGACAAATGACTCTCGAGGCGGCCGAGACAGGTCAAAAGGTCGTGTGTAGGTTCCCCTGCCACCACAGTGGAGTGGACTGCAGACTGCAGACCAAAAACAGACTGAAATAGGGACTCCGGTACTCGTAAAAAAATTCCACACATACCTTCAGTTGGCCACACCCCCAGTCTAACCAGTAGTCTACACGAGCTTGCTGCTCGGGGGACCCCTTTCTCGTTAACCCCTTCCCTCCCTCATCTCCCTCTCCCTCGCATGAGAGTCGACATATCTCACTGACTGAGAAAATCCTCTCTCCAGACGCCAGCTCCAAGACCACGCCCCTCCCAGACTTGAGGGGATGGGGACAGCGGCCTATGTGCAAACGTTCCAAATAACGCCCATTACAGTTCCAAAAAGCGCCCACCTTCTATCAACTCGAAGCGAGCCGCGCTCTCCTCCGTTTCCCAGATGACGAGCAACGCCAGGAGATCCGGGTCGCCTCTAGAGTAGTACAGCTTCCCAGCCATGACTCTTGCTAGCTTCTCTTCTCTTAGCTTCAAGACTGGGTGCTTTTTCGAGCGGTTTGCGGTCGCAAAAGTATGGAAGCGTGTTCATGATCACGACCTTTCACCTATAGTCTACGTCACATTACGTATGAAAAAGAAGGCGGGGCTGGTACGTTTTGCACGTCGGCGGGAGGAAATGGCGGCAACTGCTGGAGAAGACAAAAACGGTGGGCCTGCGCTTTATGAAAGGTGAGTCGCGCAGAAGCTCTAGTTCCTCATTTCTCTCCGCCATTATCTCAGAATAGAGCCGTTTCCCGAGCTGAGTCCGGAGGCTCGACTGATGACTAGGAGGATCCCCTTCGCTCGCCTGCGGGGCTACGGCTCCCAGCCGAACGTGTCGGGAGCCAGAGCTAAAGTGGACACCAGAAATCGGAGGTACGAAGTGATTGCCTTTGTAGGTAAATACGTGTGTGCGCGCGTAGTCTAAGCTGTATATTATAGTGGGAGGGGCTCCCTTTGCGGGAATCCCCTGCGCTGCATGCTAACCCTGAGCCAAAAAGTGCCCCCTGCTTGCGGAAATTATCATGAATCCCTTTTCTGTGTGTTCCAGCTACAACCACTGGCGTTCGAAGTCTGCCGGAGATGGGACGAGTGGTGGGAAAGGGAGAGGAGTGAGCCTTGCCAAGGCAGACTACAGTCGCATTCAATCCAGGGTTGATACTGGCAGAAAACGGGCCAATACTGATGTGGTGGGTGGTTAAACATTTGCCCTTCCTCTCTGTCTATATTAATGAGTCATCCGTGTACTTGCAGATGGAGAGTAAGAAATCAGACAAAGAAACTCAGCTCGTGACACTTGCTTCACAGCTGTCGGCCGCCCAGCGCAGAATGGTAGCTATACACACACACCCCCACAGTCCCTTAGCAACTATCTTTGCATCTGCAGACGAAACTGAAAAGAGCTTCTACGCTTCCTTTCACGAGAACAAGTAAAACTCCCTCACCATAACATTGTGTATGGATAATAGTATATAATAATTATGAATGCAGGTGAGGCAGTACCTACTCACGGAAACACCAGGAACAGAAAGGTTAGTAGCTAAAAATAGCATTTAGTGAATATGTCATAGGTAATTCCCAGGGAAACTTGAACCCTGTTTACTATAATAATATCCTGAAGGAGCCAGTTACTGAGTAGGTAATGAAATAGTTTCTTGGAACTGTGTGTAACCTTGGAAATGAATAGCCTAGGAATGCACAGGTTTAGTACACTCTTAACATCTTCAAATTTCCCTCCATGTCTCATTAGCCCTGTTTGTTGCCAATAATTATTATGTTGTTGTCATTTGGAAGGAATTTTCACTCTTGAAAGAGATTTGGATGGAGTTTTATTTGTCCTAGTATAAAATCAATTAACAAGTTACCAGGATGATAACAGTGGTCCAACCAAAAAGCATGTGGCTTCTAGTTGCGCAAACAAAGGCGCATGCAGTTATGCGTTATTTGGTATGTTGACCTGACAGGGTTTGTTTTTGACAAGGCAATTGTTTGCAAACACCAAGGGCCATAGTTATGTCAACAACAGCTCATTTAGCCACCTACAACCTCGAAACTGTATACTTATAGGGAGTTAGATAACGCAGATATAGATCTACAGTGTCTTTCTAGCTCATCGCCCACGTGCGTAATAATTTGCGCACGCAGAGGGAGCTCGTGCTGCCGCTGCGACTCGGCAGGATCCTAGCAAAAGCTGTCTTGTGAGAGGGGGATTCAGGTAAGCAGCCATGTAGCTATATTGAACTGCCTTTGTGAAGCCCAGGAGGCCATGCTCAGCTATTTCGTGTGTGGAGGTGGCGTGTATCGTCAGGGGAAGTCGCTGTTCTCAATTCTAGGAATCCTACGGTGGCGTAGTATAATAGCTACGTGCGTAACTTGCCGTAGATATCGTGTGCGTCTGCTGCAGGTATTTCTGCACCTCGCGGGTGCGATCTTAGTTAGACTTCAACGCTAGACGTCTGTATATATATATCTGAGTCAAGAATTTTTCCAGCCTTGTGCTTGCTGAGATATAGTCTGTTGGTGGTTGAAGTTTCCTCCGCTTTGCACGTTGTACCGAGAAAGAGACTGTTTGCGAGGTTTGTGTGTGTCTGTGTCGCGTCACTTTGTGTGTTAGCAGTCCTTAGCATGGTGCAGGCTAATAGTCAGGGCTAAAGTGAAAGGATAACAGGCTCTGATGCAGTGTAGTCAGTACACCCAGTAACGTGTGTAACTTGCTTGCAACTGCCAAGTGTGGTGTGTAGTACATTGATGGGAAATATTATTAGCTAGCCAGGTACGTACTATTCCCGGTAAAGTGCTCTAAATCTCTCCAGCTTGCATGGAAGAATTCTCACACTCTCCAAGAGTCTAGCATTAGAGGTTGGTGTTTGTTTTCTTTGAAAAGTTTTCTTAGAGTGTGTAGGCAGTGGGCAACTCTGCATTCAACCCAAGGTGTGGTAGTGGCTGTTAGTCTATTGCTAGTTGAGAAGCGAAATTTGCAACTGAGATTTATCCATCTTTTGTGTATGCCATCTGTGGTGTGTATAGGTAGTGAACTATCAGCGATCATTCAAGGAGGTGAAATCTCGTGTGGACTGCAGCGACCCACATCCGCAGGTCACCAAACAGACGCACTCACTGAAAGAACTCCAAATCGTGGGAGACTTTGACAGAAAATCAATAAATCCTCGATTTCTCCACCATCGTCTCCCGCACCAACTCATAAACTCTGTGAAGTCGCACAAGTTTAGCTTCCCAGCTACCACAACTACACCGAGTGCTCCTACTACTACTGGTGGTAAAAACTGTGGGAGGTGCTCTGAAACTGAACATTGTACCTCAGAAGAGGTCGCTTTGACATTGATTGAGACCGAAACTCGAAAGCTTTCCCCGAATAAGGAGGGCATGGAGGTGGTGAGATCAGCTCCATTAGTTGCTTTCAAGACAGACACAACAGTGGTACGCGAGGAAGAAGAGGTTGTGAGGTCTAAAGCCGGTGGTTCAAGGACAGATTTTGTCCGACAGAGAGGGTCTTTTTGGAACTGAAAAGCCTCAAAACTGTGTCAGGAGTCGTGGTAGGGAGGAGGTAGGGAGCGAGACAAGGGAAGAAACGAGAGGTTCAGTGTCGTCTTCGGAAGGTGTGGGAGTCAACCCAGAGTACAGCAACATGGACGTAGACATGGATGCCTTCTCTGAGGCCCAGACATTTGCCGGGAGCACAGAAGGAAGAGGGGAGGAGAGGGACGAGATTGTTGGGTTTGAAGTGAGCGCAGATTCCACGCAGACCACTGTCAACCTCTTCCACCTGTTTGGTACCAAGAACAGATCCACAGAGGAGATGAGAGTCGAGTACGAGGACAACCAACTGTGGGTCATTGGAGAGGAGGACGAGGAGGGGGCGGAGTCGGGGGCGGAGTCAGAATCAGACATGGAAGAGGAGATTAGTTTGGACGGAGGGGTCGTGGAGAGATTCGTGTCAGTTCCGCAGCTGTTTGTAGTGGACGAGAATGACACGGTGGTGGAGAAGGTGAAAACGGGGAGGAGGAGGCAATCAAGGGGATCCCTGTCATCTGAGGGGTTAACAACTTCTGCTGCCGGTGACTGTACACTGAGCCTTCAAACTCTCTCACTACACAACTGACATGCTGCTGTTTTTTTCAAGTTTCTGTGTGTGTATAAACGATCAACTTACTGTTCTTAATGCGCATGCGCCTATATGGGATGTATATATGCAATAGTATGCGCATGCGTGTGAACTTATCCGACACGTGCGGCGGCGTGTGTTGATCGTGTTTACATATTATACGTGTACGTATTATACGTGTGTGGGGGCGGATGATCACGGAGCCGGAGGCCGAGCTCGTACGCTGAGCGTGCATAAAGGCCCTGCCCCGTTGCAACACGCACACAGTGTACGTACGAACGTTTCTGCAAGGCGAAGAAAGCAACGCAGGACGAGTGCAGCAAAAAGAACGGAGAGAGGGTAAGAGTTTTGAGCGATAGAACTGTTTTTGCAGCGTGTGTGGATGCCTGCATGCGTACGTAGAGTTACGTTTTAGCACGCTGTTTTTCGCTGGTCTAGCTAAACCTACTGTCTATGGTGCTTTGCTTTAGAGAGAAATGTGGTATTACGGCGTGTATTATGTTGTTTTGCTCTAGCTATATAGCGTGCGATGTATATTATACTAAACAAAAAATTGTGGTAGGGTTTTTGACTGTTTGTTTGTTGCTATAACTAAGAGTGCTTGGCAAAGATTACCTACCATCATTTGCACGGTAGTTTATAGTTTGGCCATAGCTACAATTTAGTTTTTTAACCAAGTCATTGACAAGCAGCTGATGTTGACTTGTTTGTGGTGAGGTCATAACTAGAACAAAGGGAAGCAAGTACTATAATACTAGTGGATATTATTTCATGTTCACACTTGGTCATTTTGAAAGCTCATAGGTCCATATTAGGTGGTCACCTGTGGTCACTCATAGGGTTGGAATTCGAACCTTTCCATAATTTCGTTTCACATGTCCTTGTACACATGTCCTTGTACACAAGTCCTGCAAGTCTCCCACCCTTTAGTTTGCACAGTTGGTATAAGGGAGAGAGGGGGAATGTTTCGTACTTCGGACTCTTTGCAGAGTGAGAGAGAGAGAGAGAGAGAAAGAGGGAAGGAGGGGAAGAAGGAAGGAAGGAAAGGAAGTGCTAAAACTGCCATAGATGGTGGGGAAGTCTCAATGTCAAAACTTGTGGGGCTCCTAGTGTGACAAATGGAAATGCTGTGAATAGCAGTATATACTAGGGGAAGTGGTTTAGGATGTGCAACATTCAGCAGCTCTTATAACGTCTCTCCTTCACTCTTTCTCTCTCTCCTTCTCTCTCTCTCTCTCTCCCCCTAGTGTCAGTAGATATGAGTACTCTCGCACGGGAACTCGGATTCCTCGCTCGCAGGAACCTGGCCCAGATCCTGGACCACCATTCCAGTACCGGAATGGACTGGAGAGGGCTGGTGGACCAGATGGGCTTCTCTTATGAGATGAACATGCTTCTCAGCACTCGGCAGTCCCCAACACTATCACTGCTGGAGGAGTGGGAGAGAGTTCTCGGTGAGTGTGGTGCTCCGTTAGTGTTTGTGTGTTTGTGTCTCCACGCTCACTTGGCGTTACTCACACTATTTGCTTTGTTGAGGTTGGTTGATGTTTCAGGTCATTAGGCCTTGGTTCAGACCATCAGAGAAGAACTTTGTGTTTTGAGCCCGCTTTGGCATGGTTATCCACATTCCTACCCCTCTCTTTCTCTCTCTTTCTCTCTTCCCTCTTCTCTCCCCTCCCCACACACCTCCCTCTCTTCCAAAGGTGCTGAAGCTACTCTGGACAAGCTGATAGAACTAGTTGGCTCACTGGGCTGTAAGGAGGGGGTGGACGTACTTACGAAAGCAAAAGGTAAGCAACACTGCACTTTCAGCACTTGAGGGAGTGGGAAGTGGGGATGTATTATGTGTGCAGCTGGTGTGGTCAGCTGGTATGCATTGTTCCATTATAATTATTGCCTTTGTACTACTGCATTATAGTAGTGTTGATTGGCAGTTGCGTTGGTATTCTGTCTATCTTTCTCACTGCTCAGCTGAGAAGAAGGTGAGACTGGACAGCAAAGGTAGCCTCCCTGGCTCCTCGTCTGATTCATACAACACTTCACCTCTTTCCACCTCACCTCTTCGACATCACAGTAAGCTTTCCCTCTCCCTCTCGTCTCCCTCTCGTCTTCCTCTCGTCTTCCTGGACTCTCCACTTAACACTGGCCTTTACTCTTTCTTATTCTCTTTAACGGTATGCCTCACCTTGCCTTCTTTGTCTCTTTCTTGTCTGTCTTCTTTGCCACACACACACACACTCCTTTTCTGTTGTATACATGCAACACGTCATTAAACATTCCTCTGAACCGTTAAGAATGTGACCTTTTAATGAATTCTAGAAATGCCACTTTAGTCACAGCAAAACAACTGTCTTGGAAGTGTCCCAATGTTGCCAAAAGGCACATTAACAGTTGGTGCTCTTTTCTCGTTTTTAGATGGTACATCGATGCCCACCAACAGATCTTCTGTAGCTGGGCCTAGTCACATGACATCACACGAGCATCACATGACCCCAAATAGCCACACCCACAGTGGTATTGATCCGTATGTGCTGAGTCACCACATGGAGAAATTGCAGATTGACAACAAACTGCAGAGGAGTTTGGATCTCGTCAGGTGAGAAAGCAGAGAAAGAGAGAGAGAGAGAGAGAGAGAGGGAGGGAAGGAGGGAAGGAGGGAGGGAGAGAGATGGAGATAGGGCAGGGTGGAAGAGAGGGATATATACTGTGATTTGTACAATCAAAAATACTCGTTTTCTCAGGAGCAAACAGTTCGACGTATTCTTGTCATTCTCGAGAGAAGACGAAGAGTTTGCCGAAGAGGTCCGTTCCCGGCTGGCCACGCAGGCACAAATGAGGGTGTTTGTACCTTCAGATGGTGAGCTAATAATATAATTCTGTTAACTATGAACGGTATTTCCTCCTATGTAAATATTTTGCATAGTTGTGTCTGTGTGCCTTGCGCAATTCACGGGCACCTCACGTGATTTAACTAATCATGGCAGGAAGTGTATAATTACTGTGAAAGCTCCAGTCAGATGCCTCATTAATCGCTTTTTAATGTGAGGACACCTCGCTGTGAGTGGGACACCTCGCTAATGAAGACACCTCGCTAATCAGGACACCTCACTAATCAGGACACCTCGCTAATGAGACACCTCACTAATGAGGACACCTCGCTAATCAGGACACCTCGCTCCGGACCTCACAATCAGGACACCTCGCTAATCAGGACACTAGCGAAAGAATAAAACTCTCCAAGAGAAAGGTATGCGGGGCAGATGGCAGTGCTGGTCTTTTTCATAAGGCGCGTTGCTCATGACCCAGTAATTACATAGCTACACTATAGTCTATATACGGCAGTGTGGGGACAATTATGATGTCATCACACTATTTACCATGTGATGCACTGAACAAAGAAAGATTTCCCCTCCTTTTATAACACTCTTGTGCATAGGCGGAAACTAAACCTTACTGAACAATACCCTTGTCCTTTTATAGCGTGATGCAGTTAGCGTGGGCTAATAAATATGAACCTTATTTACCTCCTTCTCTCTCCATATTATCTAACGTGAAGCAACTTATGGTGGGTTAAACCTCTGCATGCTTGGCGTATCTTACTTATGGTTATATTAGGTGGGCTCATTATAAAACAGATATTCCCCACTTCCCTCTCCATATATACAGAGTGTAGCGACTTATAAGGCGATAATAAACTGCAGATATACTCTATGCATCGACGTGCGTGTGTGAAGGTGTGATGTGTGAAAGGAGTGTGAAAGGCTATAGTAACAGAAGGGTGATATGAAAGCCACGAGTGTGGATGGATTCGGTGCGTCGCTGTGGCATGCGCGGGGCGGCAAAGGGGAAGGAGGAAATACCAGCGCGTTATAGTCCGTTTTGTGGGTTTGGTGTGTGTGTACTGGTAAGCAGCTGGGTGACTGAAACGCGCACGAGGCCAGGGACGTCCAACATTGCTATAGGTGAAAAATGGGGTGTGAGACACAGTAGACCTCCTTGGAGGTGTATTTGGATGAAAACAGTTTCGATACATGTATTATCTACAAGTACACAGTGGAGCCCTCTAATCCAGACACGTACCAATGGGACCGAATCCGAGATATAAGTGAGGCAGCGTCCTGTTTCAGGGGTAATGTGTACATGCAAGAACTGGTTTTTGAAGAAAGCGAAAGCTATCCTTCTTCTCTCTCTCTCTCTCTCTCTCTCTCTCTCCAGTTCTTATGCCGGCGGGGTAGGTGTTTTCAGAGCAGATTGCGGATATGATCAAGAGACGCGGTTTGCAGGCAAAACGATCATCTCTTCTTTCTCCCGACTCCACCTCGAATCGAATGGTGAGCTACGAGCGCACGAGGCGGAGAGAGAATGGCCTCTTCAGCGATCTCCAGGTTATCCAGACGAGTGGTACTAAGTGTGTGGAATGGGGAAGGATGGAGTGTGAGTAGGCTTGCGTGTTTGGAGGAGCAGTGTCCGCATTCCAGTCTGGTGGACAATGTGAAATGATGAAGGGGAGTGTGGGGGGTGGGCGAGACATGGGGACATGGAGAAGGGTGGGGAGGGAAGGAAGAATTCCAGTGCTTTTAACAGCAATATCTCCATACTCGCCGTGTCTATGTGTATGTGCGTCATAAGCTCAGAAACGTGCGAGAACAGATATGAGCCTCAAAGCGTGCACGCAGACAACTCCTGATGGCGCACGTTTATATATCTTTACGGTCTTTGGACAGTGGAACTTCACAATCCTAGATCCACCACTTTGGCCGCACAAACAGTACAGATAGAAGGGTCCTCTTCTTCTACTTCATATAGAAGTCTGGTAGCCCCCCCCCCACCAGATGACTTTCTACCCGCACCCTTATTTTTATCTTCCTTTACCTTTCTTTTTTCAGTTCCCTCCCTTCTCCCACCCTGGTGCGCCTTTCTCATCTGTCAGTACATGTTCATATTTATATCCTCCGCAGCCTTTGAGCCGAGACAAGATCTTCCCGCCAGAGAGTGGGCATCACTAATGAAATCGAGTTGAATGCGGAGAGACGAGGGAGGGGCAGGAGAGAGAGCGAGAGGAGAGGGTAAGAAGGGGAGAGAGGGAGAGGGAGGAGGGAGGAGGGGAGAGGAGGGGGAAGGAAGGAGGGGGGAGGGGAAGAAGAGGAGAGGGGGAGAAGGGAAAGACGGGAGAGGGGGTAAGAGCAGATGAGGATTCGTGACTTTGTTTTTATTCGCATAGTGTTGTGGCATGAGAGGGGCGGGGAGTGCGAGGGTGGTCGCTTTGTTTAGTGTTTATCCGCATGTTTTCAGTCAGTAATCAGGTCAGCTGGGCATGATCGTTTCAAACGTGTGGATACTTATACACAATATGTAAAGACTAAGAGGGTCCCGTCTCTTTATTAGTATTGTCTAGTTTTATAGTCTTAGTACCTAGTGATTAATTGGGGTTGCGGTGTTGCAGCACGTTTTTGTCTTGCCTTTACCGCGATGTCCGGGTGATTTGGTGTTGGGTACCCCACCCTCACCCCTTTTCCAAAGGTCTTCCTTTCCACACCTATGTATATACCATTCAGACTGCAAGAAGCACAACCTAATCCCCCATCGTCTTCCGGTCGTGCCAAGTCCCTCGATTCCTCGAACACATCTACTATCTCGACTACCCCCGCTACCATAGCAACCCAGACTCCTGTCAGAAATTCTTCTGGGCCCGCCTCTTTCGGGCCGTGAACCATGACCCCACCAAAAACGGGCGGTAATTTTTTTTTTTTGCAGCACATATACTACTCTCCATTAGAACCTAAACCATTTTGCGTCTCAACTTTACATTGTGTTGTGTTTCATCATGTTTAATTAACATGTTCATGTTGTTCATTGTAGTGATATGAGAATCTGGTTGTTTTTATTAAAAAAAATAATTGGTGTTATTTTGATGTGGCATATATATTATTATAAACACAAAAGTAAAATACAGTGAAAAAATTGATCATGTGAGTAACATGTGACAATCATGTGTCAGTTGGGAGGGGCTTGATGTCGTGTGGATGTCCACACTGATTGAGGAGGTTGCCATAGTAATCGTGTTCCGGGCGTAAACACAGGCCACCGTTTGAAGTTTCGACAAAGGCGGTGACATCATTGTTATTTATGCCACACCCCTCACTGCCTGGAGATGCACTCGCATCATGTTCTGATTCCCCCACACATCCCCAAAACTGGTGGTAGCTTGGCTGTTGCTCGGCAACAACTCGGTTGCCGTGGTCTTCGTTTTGACGCTCCTGCTCCATTTTCCTAAGCTCCGCCTCTAGAAATAGGGTGTATTGTCGCTGTTGCTCTAGCAACGCCAGGTTGTGGTAGTATAAACGTTCCAACTCCCAATATGCCAGTGTTCGGTGGAGTGACCCGTTGAGCGATGGCTGTCCCGGTATAATGCCCGGTTGACCCGTTTGGGGATTGGTAGTGGGTGGTAAAACTGGTAGTAGTCCAGGCAAAACGGGTGTGGTTGAGATTGGAGAGAGGCCGAATGGGGTGGGTGGAGTCAGCGTGTTTGGGGAGCAGTGTCCCGATTCCAGTCTGGTGGAATGTGAAATGGGAGTGTGGGGGGTGGGCGGAGACATGGGGAACATGGAGAAAGGGTGGGGGAGGGAAGGAAGAATACCAGTGCTCATCTTGCTATCAGAAAACTGGTTTTTCCTGTTCTTAGCAGCGGGTTTGCCGGACACGCTATTGTTTCTCTTGCTTGGTGTTGTTTTCTTTGGTACTTGGTTGTTTGTTATTTTTCCTGCCACTTTCTTTGTAGATCTTTGAGGCTTTTTCTTTGATATTGAACTGGGTTTGCCGGGTAGGGCCGATACGCAGATACTGCACCGGGTGTGGTGGATAAGCCGGTACTGACGGGTGTGTGATAAGCGGATACTGCACCAGCTGTGTGGAAACCAGTCTGTGTTTGTGTTGGTAGCTGTTTGCTTGAAATTGAGGGAACCACTGGCAATGAGGGGGTCCGGGGGGAGGTGGACAAATTTGAAGTGAAATCTGGCAGTTCCCCTAGGTTGGTGGGCGTGTCAGTGGGTGTGGTCAATTCACTGCCAGTTCTCTTCAGCTCCGTCGGTAGCTGCGGAATGACCGAGTCCAGACACGTAGGGATGAGAGACCCATGCCCCGCCCGATTATCTTATCTTGGGCGGAGAAAGAGGGCGGGAGGGAGAAGGAATCCGGGGTCAGTGCGCCCGTCCTGAACACTGAGAATGAGGAAGTGGATTGAGATCTGGATCGCGAAGGTTTACAGTGGGGAAGAAGATTCTGGGTCGAATTTCCAAATGATGCACACCGTTTCTTCGTCCCTCCGATGTCACGGGCAGAAGCGAGGAGGGAGTGAGGTCTGGGGTGCTTCGTGGGGGGCATTCTTGAAATTGAGGGGATCACTGGGAACGAAGGGGTCTGGGAATTTCGAGTGAAATCTAGCGGCCCCCCTAGGTTGTGTGTGAAGGTGTGTTGAGCCACGTTGGGTGTTAACCGATTGCTTCTTTCTTGTTTGTAGCCAGTTGTGTGATCGTTGCTATATTCTCTGGTTCCTCCTTCTTCACTTCCAAACTGGTTTTTCCAGTTATTCTTGGGAGCGCTGTTGTCGGAGAAGTTTGGCGACTGGTTTGAAGAAGAAAATGAGCTGAAAGACGGAATAAAGCTGTTCATTGGAAGAAAAAGGCGCTCTCTTGTAATTGCTGCTGAGCTACCAAAAAATGGGGGCGTGCTGGAACTTGCACATGAAAAATTTTGAGGGTTTGCCCGTGAAAAATTTGCTTGCGAACAGGCTGCTCGTGAAAAATTAGTACTGTTGGTTGAAATTGGCTGGGTTGAGGAATTGCCCGCGACTGCATAGTGTGGTATGGTCTTTGAGCCAAGTCTAGTGAGGAAAGGGTTAAGAGTGGTGGAGGAGTGAGACGATTTGTACCTATTGAATTCCGATGACGAAACCGGGGCGGTTGTTTTGTCCAAGTGTGGGGGAAGAGGGGGGAAGAGAGAAGTTGCTTTAGATGTGAAGAGAGAAGGGGTTGAGGGAGAGGAGAGGGGGAGGACGGAGGAAGGGAGGGAGAAATTTGACCGTGGGAGTGAGGAAAGAGAGGAGGAGGAGGGCGTTAAATTGGATAACAGCTCAGGCGACAGCTGCCTGGTCTTGATTTGGGTATAGTTGGAGTTGGAACCACGCGAGAGAGGGAGACGAGGGAAAGAGCGAGCACCAGGTAGCGACGAACCGGACACGTGCTGTCTCCGTGGAAACGCCCTACTGACCCCCGAACTGTTGCTTCGGGTGCGCGGGTGGAGGCAAACGCGCGCTGCTTCCGTGCGTGGCTGAATCCGAATTGGACCTCTGTTTTCGAGCCACACTTGTAGATGAGAACAAAGAAGGGGACGGAGAGTGATGGGAAGAGGTTGGTGACCATCGAGGGGGAACGGATGTATGCGAAAAGAGAGGGGCGGAGCCTGAGAACATTGTGGGCGTGGTCTGATGTGAGTTGGGCGGAGTTCGAGAATTGGGTCTCTGTTCTCGGTGTGATGGAAGTGAATGTCTACTGATGTTTGTTCCCCCGGTGGAACACTTTGGCGGCGTGGACACCACATCTCGGGTTCCAAAATGGTTAATTATGTCTCTGATGAAAGGGTTTGCAGCTGTCTCCCCCATTCCCAACAAGCCGTGTGCCCTACCACTCGAAGAGGTCGTCTCGGCAACAGAATAATTCGCTTCTCTTTCACAGGAGTCAGTGGTTGAAGTTGTGGGGCTATGCATTGAAGACGAATATTTGTGTAGTTGAGTTGTCGTTGAGGGGGTGTGGCTTATGGTTGCCGCTAACAACGACGAAGACAGGAAAAGGGAAGGGGAGAGGTAGGAAGGGAGGGGAGAGGGGAGAGACGGCAAGTGGGAAGCCGACCGAAGCGGTACGTGACAGAGGACTTGAGAGGAGTGAGGATCCGTAGAAATGGAGGCTGGGAGGCGGGGAGGGAGGGAGTGAGAGCGTTGGGTTACAAGGCAAGGTTAGACTGTCCCGCGAGGTAGACACAGGGACACTGTCACTTGTCTCAGAGATATGCTCTGAAACGCTCTGTTCATTGGCTTGTCCCGTTTGCGAGGGGTCAGGTTGCCCAACTGGAGTAGGCATCTTACAGCTGCCTGAAGAAATGGCGTCGTTTTCGACCGCCTTTTCTTTCTCCACTCCGCCCTTGTCTCCTCCCCATCTCCTCCCCTTCCGCCTGCCTCTTCCTTGTCCTTTCCTTCCTTCAATCTTCCTCCCTTCTCCACTACGTCCCTCGGTAATTCTGCCTCTGTTGATAGAGACGATGACCCAGATTTTCCCCCCACTGCCCGTATCACCTGTAGTGGCTGCTTTGGCTACTATACTTGGAGAGATGACTGGCTCCTTATCACTGCTTGTAAAAGCTGTAGTTGCCGCGGCGGTTTCTTCCGTTTTATCGTCCACATTACTTGGAGTGGTACCAGACGGTTTTTTCGGAGTCGGTGGTGCTGTTTTGGTCGACTTTGGTCTAGTTTTGCCGCGTTTGGTATCACCGGTTGGTTGACCCGATCTCTTCCCCGACTTCTCAACAACAGCTGCTTTCTCTTTCAGTTTCAGTCTGTTCTGTTTGGCTCTCTCCTGCACGGCACAGATAACACATGAACTCTGACAATAAATCCTTATTGCACACCTTCAACAGCATGTGGTGCTCTATGCCAGATACCACACCCCAGGAAAGGCTCTCTCTAACTGGTATAGAAGATGTACGTCCGTCCATGCTACTGTTTCACAATATTTCTCCCATATTTCAGTGACTTACACAATATTCATCTCTTATGGCTACACTTGTCCTTCTCCACGTCGTCCATATCAATTTTGCCTTGTTCATCCATCCACCTATTAATATACCATCAATACACAACACAAAATTTTCAATGCATGATAAAATTTTTTTTCCACGCATCATGCATGAAAATGAGACACACACAACTCTTTGTTGCGGGGAAAAAAGTTTTGCCATATCCTCTAAAAAATTTAGGCCCATTAAAAAATTTACAACTGACCTTTGACTGCTCTCAGTTTTTCGTGCATTTTTTCCAGTGAAAATAAGATGGGTGCCCGCGTGGCATTGAGACCGAGGGAGTAGTCCGGTTCCCACGACTTGAGAATCCGGTAATGGGCGCTGGCGGGTGGAGAACCGGGCTTGCTGTTCTTGTCACTGGCCCGAGACTGATTGCTGTTGTGTTTTGCTCTTTCCTTCTTTCTGGGTTTGTTCTTTTCTCTTCCTCTCTCGCTCTCTCTGTGGAGGGAGAGGAGAAGAGGAGAGAGGGAGGGAGAGGGAGGAGAGAGAGGAAGAGGGGAGGAGAGGGGAAGAGAGGGAAGGGAAGGAGGAAAAATGGAGGATTGGAAAGGGAGAGAGAAAGATGGAAAAAACACAAGACAGGAAAATAAAAAACAAGCCCCTTTCACCAGCAGCGAGACGTATACATACACACTAGGACACAGTACGTCAGAATACACACAGTTGCGACTGACGGTATAATCGTACAACGTCCTATTAAAAGCTCTCCAGACCTGAATATTATACATACATGTACATACATGTACATGCCTCTAGCAAACTCAACACCCAAACAAACTGTTTGCACACACTTGACGCCATACATAATGAATGTGCGCTGGCATGAGAAAGGAAAAACAGCCTTTCACGCTCATCAACGTATTGAATGCGCTCAGACATCGGCCCTTAAGACAACCAGCCACTAACCAACAATGACCGAATTAAGCACCGAAGTTCCCGCCCAAAACATGTACAGGGGGCCCGAAAACACTGAAATCTCGAAACGAAGTGTTGTCCGTTGAATAGGCATGGAAGGAGCGGCGAGCAACTCGCGTACAAAATCCCGACATTTCGCACTGTGTTTTTCATCAATAGCCGGCCCTGTTTCCACCTCGCGCTGTTTGCCTCCCATCTCGTTCGGCGTGCACCAGCTACTTAAAGATGTGGACCAACACTCGACTAGACAGTTCCAGTTTCCAGTGTTCCAACTGCTGTAACTGATACTCTTTACGGAGAGGGCGTGCCAACAGCTGCCAAGTGCGAAACATCCACGTGAACAAGTCCGGGAAAACAAAGCGAAAGGGTGCGCCATTCGGCGGCGTCATCTTTCAGGGGGGGGGGAAGTGTTGGAGTGTCGCAAACACAGTCTGAAAAAGGGTGAGTACATTAGCACCTACGTGTGTTGAGCGTCGTCTGAAGGAAGGAATATTAGTAGAGTGGTTTGTTCATTTAGTGAGTATATTGCCGTTTGAGAGAGCCAGAAAGACACAGAGAGAGAGAGAGAGGAGAGGAAAATTGTGGGAAGCAAGAAAAAGCGAGAAGAGGTAAGAAATGAAGCAGAGAATTTTAGAATGTGACTTAGTGTACGTGGCTATATGCATGCAGTTGGTACTGCACAAGCTAGGTTGCAGCAAAATGCAGAAAGACTGCGAAACAGACCTTCTCTAGCTAGTATATAGCTTGGCTAGCAACTTGAGTTGCATTATGAAAATCCACAAGCCTAGGTAGAGCACTGCAAACGATAAAATGTTGTCAGTCTCAGCTTTGATGGTTTTGCTCCTGTGTCTCTGGCAGGATATGAGGTTACTACTGTGGCACCTGGTCGGCATGGTAACCCTGGTTGTCATGGTGAGGAAACCTTAATACAGTGTACTCTTGAGAAATTCTGGCAGTTCTGCCAATATATCTTTCCCCTTCATCTTTCCACTTTGTCGTACACTTCAGTCTCTTTCTCTCTCCCCCCTCACTCTTTCCTTTCCATCGCCCTTCCCTCTCCTTCCCTTCGCCACACTTAATCGCACTCCCTCCACTCCCCTCTAAAGTTCGAAGCCGGCACCCTAGGTTCCTTCATACAATTGGGAGGTTCGACTTCGTGCCAGAGCTACTCCAGCCCCAACCTCTGCGAGGCCAACATGTGCGGCTCCAAAAAACACTGCTACTGGAATTACTCCATGGAGACGTGCGCCTGCTGCTCGCAACGCTGCACCTACCCCCTCAAACTGAACGAGATCCTGTGCGAGTGTTTCTGTTCCGAGACCAGCTTCTGTTCCGGGAACCGGCGCATGAACTACCACACCTGCGAGTGTCAGTGCATTCACCAGGAGTGTACCGACGGACAGACCTACGACTCCAACACCTGCCAGTGCTCGTGCCCGTGGAATAGCTACTGGGACAATTCGGTGAACCACTGCATCGCCGACTGCGAAGAGATGTCGGTGGAATTCTGCGAGCAGGTGAAATCGGAGAAGAACACGCACGCCTACTGCGTTAGGGACGGGAACAGCTGCAAGCGACCGAGCTGCACGACGTTTTATCGCGACCAGATGCTCTGCTCTATTTCCAAATGTGAAGAGACTGGGAATCCGTGCAGGTACAAGAGAACTTACGAGAGGGTTTTGAACTTAGAGAGAAAGGGAGAGAATTACAGGTAGACGTTGATGGATCCCATAGACCCAGGCAGGCAGGGGTTAAATTTATAGAAGCTGGGAGGGAGACCTCAAGCGCCAATTTAACACACCTACCTTCCAGTTGTGTTGGGGGATGTTCAACACATCTATGGTCCAACTGCTCGAAAAGGGCGTAAACTAAAAACACTCTCTTTCCTCACTTTTAAGTGCATTAAGTTAATGGAGTGCTTTCTTTTGAAAACCAGGATCAAAGGGTAATACATAGGCAGTAAAGTGTTCATGTCCAGCTTATTTTTATCACCTTTCATTCTGCATATTCTCTCACTCACCCATCTCTCCCTCTCTCCCTCCCTCCCTCCCTCCTACATGCAGTTGGGTCTACTATCCTTACTATCCCTACACATACTTCTGCCGTTGCTAGGACAACCCTCCCACCATCTCTTTCAACCAAACGCCTCGTCCAGAAACTGATTTTAACAACTTTTCGCAAGCAAGAGACCCCAGCATACACTTTTAATTTTTGATTTCAAATCTCCTTTTGTGCTTTGTTCGCTTACCACTTCGCACCATTAAAATAAACGGCACACAACCAAAAATTGAAGAGTTGAGTAGCACACCACAAAAATTTGACTGCATGCCACAGGAAAAAGTAGAGAGAAAACCGTGAAAAAAAAATGAAAAAAACTCACTTTTTCGGTTGGATTGTCCTCGAGAGGAGTGCCATGGGTCGGATGTCAATTTCAGGGATGTCTGTGAGGATCGAGCAGAGGAGGTTCCCGGGGGGCTGGTCGGGGGGCAATTTTGTCTTCTTGGGGGGGGGGGGGCACGATTGTAGCAGTAGAGATGAGTGTTTGCCTGCGGGTAATTATGTATTCACAAATGTTGTGACGACGCACTCGGCTAAACGTATCTATTCTCGCTTGTATAACTTTCCCATTACTCCAACCATTCATTCATCAATTCCACGGCCTTTCTATCCAGGCCTCCCACAATCTACCTACCTAAAGCTGCTAAGAAAGGTGTACAAACTGACCTTTACTTCTCTGGGAAGAGTGGTCGTCTTCAGCCGTTAGTTCACTGGAATCGCTTGAATCGGCCTCCGTGCCATGACCGCCTTCCGTCTAGAGAGCAAGGGAGAGTGTGGGAGAGAGGGAGGGGAGATAGATACCATTAGAGCGGAAACGTTAATTTTGAGGGAAAAATGTCACATTTCTACGAATCAAAAAATTGTTCCATTATACAACATCATCCTGTTGAACTGCATAGCCAGCAGAACTTGTGTATAGTGTGACAAGCATGTCACGAAATTCTCGTCTACTAGCCGGGCTTTATCCTCACTCCAAAGTTTATAGTACTATAATATTGCAACGATCATGCACTGCAGATTCAGACCTCGTGCAGCGTCCTCTCATCTGGACTCTGCTCAGTAGCATCGTCGAGGTCACTCAAAAACCTGCACACACCAGAATAGTCAAGAAGGGAGACACATAATGCCACCAAACACCCACTATTGCAATAAAATCAGGACATTAAACGAAAATTAAGGGGGATTGTTTATCACTGATCAGGACATTTCTCTACGGCTGCGACAAATTTTCATAAAAATACAAGACTATGACTGACTTTCGACTCAATTTGACGGATGCCAGACTGTATTTTGTCCAATGATCCGCCTTGCCTTCTTCCCCTCCTCTTCTCTCTCCTCCTCCTCTCCCCTCTTCCCCACTCGAGCGTGTCCTCGGTAGCTCTGCCACTTCCTCCTCTTCGGTCACCCCGCACGTCGGAAGTAGATGATGTCACCGAGGAGCGTGCTCTGACACTAGGTGCGTCAGATGATTGAACGATAACTGGGACGATTCATCGATGGCTGATGAAGATCGTCTGCAGAGAAGTGCTTGTAGTCTGCCGACCGTGACTGGAGAGGGTTAAATTTCCTGTGGAATCTGAAAGCGGTTAAACACTGCGGTTGAGCCGAAAGGGTTAAGTCGTGTTGAGTATCTGGAGAAGTTGAAATGCTGCGGCAGTTTTGAGAGCGAGTGAAAGGCAGACTTCTTTCTCTCCCTCCATCCCCTCTGTCTTCCCTTCCACGGATTTAGCAACCACGTTCAGACTGGAAGCCGTAAGTATACCTCCTCGTCGCACTCCAGTTCCATCCCATACTGCCTAAGTACATACTTCCATTCCAAGTTACAATCCCTCCTAGTCTCCATTTACAAAGTGACCACTTCCGGTTCTAGTCAGCAACTCTTCGATATTTTGATCTTCAGAGACGGAGATTAGGTTCCGGTTTCCATTCCCCAGTACCGCCATACCCCCATTACTCATGGGCCATGTTCCATTTCCAGATACAGTCACTAGGTGCTAGAAATAACAGGACACAATGTACGTTCGCAGCAGAACAAATGAGGGGACGCCCCACGCCAGTGGTACACAAAAAAGGGGTTTTACCGGTCGTTTTGGGTTTAGGTCAGTGGAAGGTTGAGAGTTTTGGCGGTGCAGACTGCGTGCAGAAGTGTTTTTTAAAGAGGGCAGCTGGCGATCCTGGCCACAAAACCTCGCATTCGCCTCTCACCCTCCGGGATGCTAAAAGGATTTGATGCGGCGCGGCCGCCACGAGTCCATGGGGCGGGCAAGGTGTTAAACGGCAAAATATGCATTTGCATCCGTAAGAGGCCACGCCCCTTAGTAACGCAGAGGCCAAAAGGGGGGGTCGTAAGTTGAGCCGCAGCTATTATTAGTAGATATAGCTGCTAAGGTACCCTAGCTGCAGAGTGAGCGATCTAGCTGGGGTGCGATGGTGACAGAGGAGAAGCGCTCCGTTTTGCCGCCCACTCTCTAGGACTACCAGAGCCCTATATGGGGCCCCGCATCATGCAATAATAACACACACAGAAACGGTGAGGACAGCAAAAGAGCCTGCAGGCGCGAAGACTTGGTAGTGTTTCTTCTCTCGCAGATACCACGACTATATCTCCCACTGCTCGCCACCAACCGCAGCACCTGACCGCTCTCGTGCGCGTGCAGAAATACGGCGACAACGCGGGCTCAAGGCCAAGGGCCGTAATCTGCTGGACCTGTCAAGGGCTAGTAGCCAAACATACTGTGATCGTTGTATAGGGATATACCCGAGCCTCAAGACTACTCCCCTGACGGCTCTCAAGCTCAGCAATGCGCCCCAGCAGATAAACTTTAAGAACATAAGTGCACTGCATGCAAGCCCATACGGAGATGCAGCTTAAGGCTCCTATGCAGTAGTACAGGCAATGACCAAGATAGGTCGCGCTGTGTAAGTCAACAAAGCAATTAATAATGGATACTGACTCCTGAAGTCTCTCTCTAATACACAGGGAGGGAGAAAGAAGC